CCGTTCATGCCTCCCATCATCCCGCCGCCGCCCATCATGCCTCCGTTCATGCCTCCCATCATGCCTCCGTTCATGCCTCCGTTCATGCCTCCGTGCATGCCTCCCACCATGCCGCCGCCGCCCATCATCCCGCCGCCGTTGCCCGCGCCCATCGGCGCCCCCGGCGAGAGGCGGCGGCGGATTGGACTTTTTCGGTCTCGACGCGCCGGTGGCGTCGTCCGCGGGGGCGCCGATGGGCGCGGGCAACGGCGGCGGGATGATGGGCGGCGGCGGCATGGTGGGAGGCATGCACGGAGGCATGAACGGAGGCATGAACGGAGGCATGATGGGAGGCATGAACGGAGGCATGATGGGCGGCGGCGGGATGATGGGAGGCATGAACGGAGGCATGAACGGCGGCATGATGGGCGGCGTGAACGGCGGCATGGGCATGGGAGGCATGGGCGCCCCGGGAGGCATGGGCGCCCCGGGAGGCATGGGCGCGCCGATGGGCGGCGGTCCCGGAATGATGGGCGGTGGACCAGGAATGTCCGCGTCCTCCGGCGGCGGCGGCGGGATTCCCGCGTCCGGCGGCTGGGGCGGGATCCCCGGCGGGATTCCGTCGTCGCCGGCGAACAAAGGCCATCGACGGAACCAGAGCTCCGCGGGGTCAGACGCGCTGTCGGAGCTCACCGCGGACTTTCTCGCGATGAGCGGCGTCAAGGGGAGTAAGCCGGGGGGCGCGCTGACGACCGGAAACACCGGCCCGGGCGCGCCCATGCGAGGGTGACGGGTCGGCGGCGGCGGCGCGCGGCGCGGCGAAGCGACGGCTGGACTGGACGGAAAAAATGAACAGAAATCGTTCAGTTCAGTTCAGCTCGTTCTCTACTTCTCCCCTTCCGAACGCTTCTCGACCTTCTTCTTCACTCCACCCATCGCGCCGACGACGATGGCGGCCGCGCTCGAGGCGCGCCAGCGCGCGATCCTCTCGCGGCTCGACGTCCTCGAGCGCGACGCCGTCGTCGACGGCGTGCGCGCGATGTCGACGTCCGCGTCCGCGTCCACGTCCACGTCCGAGGAGGAGCACGCGGTGGACGAGATTCCGGTCGCGTCCGAGGGGGTCGCGTTCCCTCTTCCGCGCGGCCCGCCGGAGACGTCGCTTCGCGACGACGGATGCGACGTCGCGGTCCGCCTGAACGCGTTCCTCACGGCGCGCGGCGCCGCGCCGTCCAAGTTCGTCCGCGTCCCCGCGCAGTACTACGACGAGACGCTCGAGTTCCGCGCGTCGTGCCTGCGCGCGTCGTCGATCCACCGCCTGTGCAAGACGATCTGCATGGAAAACACAAAGTGGAACGGCGACCCGTCGTCCTTCGGACGCGCGAACGCGCGGCATTACGTCGTCGTCGTGCAGTACACCGCGCGTCTGTCGCAGCAGAAGCTCGAGCGATGGCTGCACGAGCTCAACGCGGGCGCGGTCGCGAAGAGCCGGCTGCACATGCGCGTCGCGAAGGAGGAGGACTCGGAGCGGATCACGGGATATAAAACCGGGGGGGTCGTGCCGTTCGCGATGCGCGAGGGAGACGCGACGCCCGTGGTGTTGAGTCACAGGATAGCGGCGCTGGGCGACGACGCCGCGTTCTGGCTCGGCGGCGGGGAGGTCGATCTGAAGCTTCGCGTGGGGGTGAAGGATTTCGTGAGAGCCACGGACGCGTACCTCGTGGACTGCACCTACGACGACTGACGACGACGACGACTGCGTTCGACGCCGACGCCGCTGAATAAAAAAGTAAAATAAAACGCGCGCCCCGCCGCGCCGCGCGCGCGCGCGAACGCTCGCTCGATGACGGTTACCATCCACACCATCGCGCGCTCGCTCGATCGCTTCACTGCACGCTGATGAGCTCGACGTCGAACACGAGCGTGCTGTTCGGAGGAATCACCGGCGGCATCCCGTTCGGTCCGTAGCCGTAGTCGGGCGTGCACGTGAGCGTCGCTTTCTCGCCGACGGACATTTGCATCATGCCCTCGTCCCAGCCTCTGATGACCTGCCCGACGCCGATCGTGAACTGGAACGGGCGGCCGCGCTTGCGCGAGCTGTCGAACTCGCTGCCGTCGGTGAGGCAGCCTGCGGCGGGGCGGGGGTGGAGGAAGGGAGGGAGGGAGGAGAGGCGAAGAAGACGTGAGACGAGATCGCGGCGATCGGAGGAGGAGACGCCGCGCGGGGGGGCGACCGCGCGAGAGAGAAGCGAACGAACGCGAACGTCGGACGGATCGCGGCGGGTCTGCGGTAACGCGCCGACGTAGTGCGCGGTGACGGTCTGCCCGGTCTTGGGGAACGTGACGCCGTCCCCGTGCGTCGTGGTCGCGATCTCGACTCCCATTTTCGGTCGTCGCGGGCGCGCGCGCGTGATGGTGACGACGCGAACGCGCGACCTCGACTTTATTTTCCAGCCATCTCTCCAGATATCTCTCTTCTCTCCACCGATCGATCGACCGACGCGCGTCGCCCACCCCTGCCCTACTTCTTCCCTTTCTTCCCCCCGCCGCCCGCCGCCTCCGCGGCGAGCATCTCTATGATTTCCGGGAAGCACTCCTCCGGCCGCAGCTTCGCGTGCTTCGCGTCGACGTGCTGCATCAGCTGCGGCGACTTCGCGGTCACCATCGCGGCCCAGCGGCACACTCGACAGACGTGCCCTCGGTTCGCGGCTTCGACGGACGCCTTCGCCTCCTTCGTGCTCGCGCTCTTCTTCCCCGCCGCGTCTTTCCGCTCCTTCTCCTTCTTCTTGAGCTGGATCTGCAGCTTGTTCATCGAGGAGTCGAGGAGGAGGACGAGCGGACGCGCCGCCGCGCGTCGCGCGCGTCGATGAAGTTTCGGTTCTGTTGTTACCCTGACCGCCTGATGACGCGGAGCGCATAATCGAGTGAGTCCGCGATGCATTGATGCGTGAAAAATGGATCTGCGCTTTTCCCGCCCGTTTTGTCCGACCCGAGCTGGTTAACTCGTCAAACTCGAGTCGTTTCGCCCCGCTACAACGTACGCCTCTCGGAGGGATTTCAAACCGGGGACGCGGCGACTCCTGGGATAATTCGCCGAACAACTACGAACCGAAGACGCGTCGTAGGCTGCGCGAAGTCGGCGCGCGCGAGGCCGCGCGCGCAGAGCGAACCGCGCGCGCGCGACGTCCACACGCGTCGGGACGCACCCGCGACGAGAAACGCGCACCGCAGCGTCCGTCGACACGAGCGCGCGCGTCCGTCTCCGGACGAACGAAAAACCCGCATTGGCGCGTTAGCAGACGCGTTACAGGCACGCGGGAGAGGTCTCTCCGCTTCTGCTACGCGCGGGGACGCAATCCAACCATATAATCCGACGGCGACGGTCGCCATAGCGTCCGTTCCCCGCCCGCGCGCGATGGCGCCGGGGGCCTCGAACGCGCTCGCGGGCGCGTTCGATAAGCAGGAAGAGCGCCAGGCGATCGGGAACGTCTTGGGCGGCGCGGGCGAGGAGCGAAGGTGCGCGCGACCCTTCGACGACGAACGCGCGGTCTTTTCGATCCTCTTTTCGCGCCCAAACCTTTCCCGCGCGCCGATCCGCCCCGGGGGCGCGCGTATCTCGCGCGCGCGGGGGGCGTCGCGGGTATCGCGTCGCGGCGACGGCGTCGTGGGCGCGAACGGCGGGGGAACGGCGCGGGGTTTAGGTCTCGCGCGCGCGCGGTCGCGCCCGCGAGGCCGCGGAGACGGGCAGGGAAAAAACCAAATTCGTCCTCGGCGTTCGCGCTCGAGGATTAAACGTTCATTCATTCATTCCATCTTTCGTCGTCGTCGTCGTCGCGTCACCTGACCGTCTCCTCTCTCCCCTCCCTCCCCCTCCCTCCCATCCCAAAACCCCCGCAGCGAGCCGTCGTTCGTGAACTACGCGAACTACGCCCAGGCCGCGGGCGGACCCGGCGCGCTGCTCGGCGACGCGTCGGCGTCCGCCGCCAACACGACGACGTCCGGAAAGACCATCCCGGCGCCCAACGTCCCGGTCGGGACAACAAAAAATAACGCCACCTCCGCGACCGTTACCCGCACCACAAACGCGTGGGTCTCCGCGCCGCCGCCGCCGCCGTTCGGCGGCTTGCGCGGAGGGTTATCGCGCGCGGTGGCGACGGCGACGGCGACGGCGGCGGCGGGCGGCGGGGACCCGTCGACGCCGCCGGGGGCCCGTCCGGGGAGCGCGCGGCACGCGCGACGCGCGAGCGCGGACGGGTCCCCGAACGGCGGCGGCGCGGCGGACGAGCTCGCGAGCCAGCTCGCCGGCGTCTCCGTCGCGGAAGGCGGCGGCGGCGGCGGCGGCGGGTCCCCGAGCGGGCAAGCCGACCTAGGGTCGCCGCCGACGCACGTCGGTATGGCGGCGCCGCCGATGCCCGCGGGCGCGCCGCCTTTACCGTGGGGCCCGCGCGGCGGCGGCGGTCCCGGCGGTCCCGGCGGTCCCGGCGCGCAGCAGTTCGTCCCGCCCGCGCCGAACGGCGCGTGGGGCCCCGGCCCCGGGTCGCCGAACTCGGCGCAACAGCAACAGCAACAACAGATGCAAGCCGCCATCCTCGCCGCGCAGGCGGGGTACCACCCGGACGCGGCGCAGTACGGCGCGCCGCACCCCGCCGACGCGTACGGCGGGCATCACCCGGGCGCTTGGAACGTGAGTGGTCAGCACGGCGGCGCGCCGCATCCCGGCGACCCCGGGGGCCCGCACGCGGGGATGCATCCGGGGATGGACCCGCGGCAACAGCAGGCGATCGCGATGCAGCAGCAGGTGCTTCTCTACACTGGTCCCCATACGACCGCGTCGGCGTGGTGAACGCCGATCCTTAAGGACTTTTCCCGTCGTCTCTCTCCGCCCACACCTCGCTTTCAATACCCGCCTTCGGCGCCTTTCAACTCCAACTGACGCCTTTCAACTCCACCCCGACTTAACTTCGTAGCAGCACATGCACGCGGCGATGATGTACGCGCAGGCGCAGGCGCAAGGGGCCGCGGGCGGGATGACGGGGATGCCGCCGGGAGGGATGTCTCCTTTCCCGCCGCCGCCGAGAGGCGCGCATCCCGGCGGTCACGGGATGCACTCGCCGCCGGGGCCGCACGGGCCGCACCAGGGGCCCCAGATGCAAGGGATGCAGGGATCCATGCAGCACTTCGATCAGATGTACGCCGCGGCGTACTATCAACGGCTCGCGGAGAACGGCGATCCGAACGCCGCGGCGATGGCCGCGGCGGCGATGATGAACGCGCAGGGGATGGGACCCGGAGGGCACGGCGGGATGGGCGGCGCGTGGAACCCGAACCACAGAGGAAACGGCGGCGGCGCGAGGAACGGCGGGCGAAGAGGCCGCGGCGGCGGCGGCCGCGGCGGCTCGGGCGGCGGCGGATACGGGATGCATCAAAACGGCGGCGGTCCGGACGGGTACGGCGGTCACGGCGGTAGAGGCCCGATGAAGCAGATGAGCCCTCTGCTCGAGGAGTTCAAGAACAACAAAGCGCGGCGGTTCGAGCTCGGCGACCTCGCGGAGCACGTCGTGGAGTTTTCCAGCGACCAGCACGGCTCGCGGTTCATTCAGCAGAAGCTCGAGACGGCGGCTCCGGAGGACGCGCAACTCGTGTTCGACGAGGTCCTCCCCGCCGCGCACGCGCTCATGACGGACGTGTTCGGGAACTACGTCGTGCAGAAGTTCCTCGCGAACGGCACCCCGGAGCAGATCGACGCCATCGCGGGCGAGCTCAAGGGCCACGTCTTGTCGTTGTCGCTGCAGATGTACGGATGTCGCGTGATTCAAAAGGCGCTCGAAGTGATCGACGAGGACGCGCAGTGCGCGCTCGTCGCCGAGCTCGAGGGCCACGTCTCTCGGTGCGTCCGCGACCAGAACGGCAACCACGTCGTGCAGAAGTGCATCGAGTGCGTGGCGCCGGCGAAGATTCAGTTCATCGTCGAGGCGTTCTACGGCAACGTGTTGTCGTTGTCCACCCACCCGTACGGCTGCAGAGTGATTCAGGCGCGTTCTATACACTGGTCCCCATACGACCGCGTTGGCGAGGTGGACGCCGATCCTAAAGGACTTTGCCCGGCGATTCTCTCCGCCCACTCCACGCTTTCAATCCCCGCCCTCGACGCCTTTCAACTCCTACTGACGCCTTTCAACTCCACCCCGACATTCGCTTGTATGGAATGGCCCTCAGAGGGTCTTGGAGCACTGCACGCCGGAGCAAAAGAGCGAGGGGATCATGGACGAGATCCTGAGAGAGGCGACGAGCTTGGCGCAGGACCAGTACGGGAACTACGTCGTGCAGCACGTGTTGCAGCACGGCGGCGAGGGCGAGCGCAAGACGATCCTGCAGACGCTCGCGGGTCAGATCGTTTTGCTCGCGCAACACAAGTTCGCGTCCAACGTGATTGAAAAGTGCCTCACGTACTGCGGCGCGAGCGAGCGGCAGATCATGATCGACGAGATGCTCGGGAAAACTGACGAAAACGAGCCGTTACAGGCGATGATGAAGGACCAGTTCGCGAACTACGTCGTCCAGAAGCTCCTCGAGGTGTGCGACGACGGGCAACGCGACCAGCTTCTCACGCGGATGCGCGTGCACTTGGGCAACTTGAAGAAGTTTACCTACGGGAAGCACATCGTCGCTCGCGTGGAGAAGTTCGTCGCGTCCGCATCGACGGCGGCGAATTCGGCGGGGATCGAACCGGCGGCGACGGCGACGGCGAGCGAGGGGGGCGAGGACCAGGACGACGCGCGACCGGCGGCTGGTTCGGCGGAGACGGGGTTTGGAGAAGAAGGCGACGGCGGCGAGGACGACGCGCAGCTGTCGTCGTCGGAGGGCGGGAAATCGGGCGGCGGGGGCGCGGAGGCGTACGGTGCGTCCGCGGACGTCGGCGAGCCCGCGGTCTCGGCGTCGTAGCGCGGCGACGACGCGCGGGCGTTTCGCGCTCTAGTCCCTTAGCTCCAGCAGTCTAGCGCCGTCGGGCCGGCGGCCTCGCGTTTCATCGTACGTCGGAACTCGAGCACTCCTGTCGTCGCGCACCGCTTCGTATCGCTTGTGCGCTTGCGCTTGCGCTTCGTCGTTAAATGTCGTGCAGTAAAAAGTCGTTCCGGTCATCAGGTCGCCTTCTCTGCTCCTCCTCACGTCGCGATGCGCGCGAACGCGAACGTCACCCTCCGCGGGTCGCGATGCGTCCTCGTGCCGTACCGCCCCGAGCACGTCGAGACGTACCACGCGTGGATGCTCGACCCTGAGACGCTCGCGGCGACGGCGTCGGAGCCGCTCACGATGGAGGAAGAGATCGAGGCGCAGCGGTCGTGGGCGAACGACGAGACGAAGCTGACGTTCATCGTCCTCGACGTCGACGCGGCGGGAGACGCGCGCCGCGACGGCGACGGCGACGGCGACGGCGCGCCCCGCGCGGACCTCGGCGTCATGTGCGGCGACGTGAACTTGTACTGGAACGTCGCGGACGACGTCCTCGCGTCGGCGGAGATCGAAGTCATGGTCGCGGAGAAGCGCTCGCGACGGAAAGGCATCGCGAGCGAGGCGCTCGAGATGTGCATGGCGTACGCGTGGAAGACGATGCACGTCACGACGTTCGTCGCGAAGATCGGGTTGGGAAACGCGGCGTCGCTGGCGCTCTTCACGGAGAAGCTCGGGTTTCGCGAGACGAGCCGCGAGACGCGGATCTTCCGTGAGGCGACCGCGGAGCTGTCGTTGGGGCTCCCGACGAGACGCCGACGCGACGACGGCGGCGACGGCGGCGACGGCGGCCAATCGGAGCGGCGTCACACGTGGCGTCCGGGGAGCTCGGAGAAGGTGCTCGACGACGAGCGCGCGCGCGTGCGCTTGGAGAGGAAGTGGGAAGACGTCGTCGTCGGCGCGTACGACGAGGAGGTGGAGGAGGAGGAGGAGGAGGACGGGGGTGGGGGTGAAGACGCGTGCGCGCTGTTCGAGGTGCGTTTTATCTCGCGCCGGTCCCCGTACGACCGCGTTCGCGCGGTGAACGCCGTTCCTTAAGGACTTTCTCGCCCGGCGTGTCTCTCCGCGCACCCCTCGCGTTCAATACCCACCCTCGACGCCTTTCAACTCCGCTTCTGACGCCTTTCGACTCCACCCCGACGTCGCTTCCTATGGGCAACGACCCCGAGTTCGTCGACGCGCACGCGCGGCTGTTCCAGGACGCGATCGCGAAGGAACACCTCACGGACGTCGACGCGACGTTGCTCGCGGCCGCGCACCCGAGGCTCGCGGCGCTCGTAGGCGCGGACGTGTCGGACGTGTCGGACGTGTCGGACGCGCTCGGCTCGGATTTTTTCGAGCGCCCGTCGCTCTTGGCGCACGCGTGTCGGGGAGGTGAGACTGCTTCCCATACGAACCCGTTCGCGTGGTGAACGCCGTTCCTTAAGGACTTTTCCCGTCGTCACTCTTCACCCGCGCTTCCCTTTCAACGTTTGACCGGTAAGACGTTCGACTGACCGATCGCTTCACAGACGTCTGGACCGAGCGCGTCCTCGTCCGCGCCGCCGCCGTCGGCACCCTCCGCGCGACGCAGTTCCTCCGCAAGCATCATCCCGGCGGCGGTCCCGGCGGCGGGTGGCCCGTCGACGCGGTCGCGGCGGCGGCGGCGCGGACGGACCTGTCTGAGGTGCGTCCTATCTCACACTGGTCCCCATACGGCCGCGTCGCCGCGGTGAACGCCGATCCTTAAGGACTTTTCCCGGCGTCTATCTCCGCCCATCCCTCGCGTTCAGTTCAATCCCGACACACCTCGACGCCTTTCAACTCCGCTTCTGACGCCTTTCAACTCCACCCCGACTTCGATTCGTGTGGAACGACCCGGAGGACGACGCGCGCGACCTGCTGGCGTTTCTGCTGTCCTGCCGGCCCGAGGGGGCGTGGCGCGAGTGTTCGCCGCGCGTCCGCGGGCGGTGGGAGCGCGCGGCGAGGGGGCGCGCGAGCGTTCGCGAGCTGTTCTTGGATCACGGTCTCGTGGAGTAGCGACGACGCCTCGGGGGGCGGGCCTCGGGGGGCGCTCGGGGGTAGTCTTAGGTAGCTACTAGAGCTAGGGCTGGTAAAACCTGGTAACCTTACTGTACTTCGCCGGGCGCTGCTCGGACACGACAGAGCATAGCAGCGGAGTGTGGATTTTCGCGCCAGCTGGCTGGGACTGAGTTCGCGCTGTTGCTGCTGCGACTACGACTTTCGGTGTCGTGGCGAGAAGGGGCGCGCGCGCGCGCACTCCTCGACGCGCGCGCCATCCCACCCCGAGCGTCATGGGCAGCAAATCTACGCGCCGGAAGCATTCTCCTCCTGATCCGAGCGCCTCCGACACCACCCTCGACGACGTCGTCGCCGAGCCCGGCCTCGCGTGCCTCGTCTTCTCGTTCCTGCCGAACGCGCGCGACCGCTGCGCGCTCGCGCGCGTCGGCCGCGTCTTCCGCGACGCGGACGCGCAGGTCGCGTCGTTGCCCGCGGCGTTCGACTTCGCCGGCTACGATCCGACGCAGCGAGGATACTATAGTAGCGTTGTGATCAAGTATCTGATGCGCCACGACGGCGTGCTGAGCTTGCCGAAGGCGCGCGTCGAGGAGCTTCTCGCGTCGGTGACACCGCGGTTGCCGGGAAAAATTTACGACCCAAGAGCTATCGTTCCACGTGGTGTCCAACCCACGAGCGAGAAGGCCAAAGATTTCTGTGGCTGGGCCGCTCACGCTGGCGAACTCGAGCTGCTCAAGTGGCTGCGAGAGCACGAGTATCCTTGGGGTGTTACTTGCATGAATGCCGCCAAGACAGGTCGCCTGGACGTTCTCCAGTGGGCGCGAGAGAACGGCGCTCCGTGGAACGAAACGTACACGCACGACATAGTTTGTGCCGGCGCGGCATTCGCTGGTCATCTTCACGTTCTGAAATGGGCGCGAGCGAACGGCGCGCCTTGGGACGAGAACACTGCTCTCTCGTGTGTTCTTGGAGATCAGATGGAGACCCTAGTATGGGCTATCGAAAACGGAGCTCCGGTGAACATTCAAGTCTATGTTGTGGCGGCAAGACGAGAACCCGCGAGAACCCGCATGGTGGAAATACTCGGGGAAAGCATGTGGCCCGACGAGTAACGACACGGAGTGTGGAACACGACCACGAACGATCGCGACGCGAAGCGTATAGCAAAGAATAAAGAATGTACTACCATGAACCGCGACTACACCTTGTACACGTGCTAATCAAAGTCCGCGGCGCCGTGCCGCTCCTCCAACACAAGGTTACAGTATGCTGGTATCGACCAGATCGTGTGTCATCCTCGCGTGAACGTTCGCCGCGTTCATCCGTTGAGGAAACGCGGAAAGCGCACAGATCGCGGCACGTCCGCGGCGCGATGAGCGCGGCGACGCGCGCGGCGGCATCGCCCGCGCGGGCGTTGAGATCAGAGAGGATCGCTCGGAGCCGCCGCCGGACGACGACGCGACGCGCGCGCGCGGTCGCGCACCCCGGCGCGCCGAGCGACGCGGACCCGTCCTCGTCATCGTCCGCCTCCGCCTCCGCGCCGTCGTCGTCGTCGCCGTCGCTGGACGCGATCTTATCGAACGTCCGCCGCGCGATGGGCGTCTCCCCGACGCGTCGTCGCGCGGGCATGGTCTGGGGCGAGGGCGTCAACCTCGGGATGCCGGTGCGATGGTGCATGCGACACGACGGCGCGTCGTTCGCGGAAGAGGCGGTGGGCCCGCAGCTGTCCTACGCGTCCGGACACGCGGAGGGCGAGCGCGAGGTGTGGGAGACGGACTTCTCGGGGTACACGCAGACGCTGCAGCTGGACGATCACGAGGCGGCGCTTCTCGCGGGGTGGACGCGCACGGGGTGGTGGGTCACCGCGGACGCGTCGAGAGCGCTCGAGCTCGAGCTCGTCGAGGAGGAGGAGGAGGAGGAGGAGGAGGAGGAGGACGTCTCCGACGAAGATTCCGCCGCTGGCGTCGTCACGGTGTCGCTGAGACTGCGCGACGGCGGCGTCATCGCCGCGCGCGTCGCGATCGACACGACGACGTGGCTCCCTGTGGGGATGAAGCTCAACGTGTGCGGCGACGAGGAGGCGTGGACGTTTGAGGGGTGGCACGACGCGCTCGACGGTCCGAGTTCGAGTTCGAGCGGTTCTTCGGAGCGGCGAGGCGGGATGTTGTACCCGAGGACGACGACGCTGCGAGGCGCCGCGGGGGGCACGCAGACGTTCACGCAGACGGGCGCGCGCGCGAACGCGGGGGTGAAGCCGAGCTGGTTCCAGGTGAGACGGAGGAGAAGACCGTTTCCCGTGCGATCCCGTTCGCGCGTCGTTCCCGGAGGACCGACTGACTTTTCACTTCACCCCGTCCGGAGTTTCCGAAGCGTCGCATCGAATCGAACGTCTCACGTCCCGCGCTCGCGCCCGACCGCAGAAACCGATCGGCGAGAACCGCGGCTCGGTCCGGTTCAACGCGAACTTACCCCCCGCCGTGCCGATCGAGTCCGCGCGATCGTCGCACGTACTCGTGCGCCCGACGATCGACGGCCTCGACGTCGGCCCGTTCATCTTGGACACGGGCGCCAGCGGCCTCGTGATCTCGTCGAGGCGCGTTCTATACACTGGTCCCCATACGACCGCGTTCGCGCGGTGAACGCCGTTCCTTAAGGACTTTGCCCGGCGCATCTCTCCGCCCACCCCTCGCTTTCAATCCCCGCCCGCGTTGCCTTTCAACTCCATCTGACGCCTATGAACTCCACCCCGACATCGCTTTGTATGGAACGACCCTCACAGAGCCGCGTCGCGTTTAAAACTCCTCGCGTTCGGCGAGGTCTTCGTCAGCGGCGTCGCCGGGAAGGTGCCTTGCCGCTTCCGCAGGGCGAAGAAGCTGCGGTTGGGTCCGATCACGGTCGACCGTCCGGTGTTCATGGAGATGGACGTCGGCGGGATCGTGTCCGGGAGCGCGGAGACCGTCGCCGGCATCGTCGGCTTCGACGTCTTCAAGAGCGCGGTGTTGGAGGTGTCGCCGCGCGGCGAGGAGGTGTATCTCCACGACCCGTCGACGTTCGTCGCGCCCGCGGCGTGGCGTTGGAATCCGCTGCTCATGGTCTCGAACGTCCCGCACGTCGCGGCGACCTTTTCCGGCGCGCCCGGCGGGGCGCCGCAGATTTTCATGATCGACAGCGGCGCGGGCGGCGCCGACGTCATCTTCCACGCGCGCGCCGTGAAACGGTTGCGTCTCGACCGTTTACTTCCGCCGCCCGGGCAGGAGAGACGCGGGACGTCGGTGCGAGGCGTCGGCGGGAGCGACGGCGAGAGCTCCGGGAGCACGCGCGCGTGGCGCGCGAAGCTGCCGTGGTTGACGCTCTGTCGCGAGCTTCCGGGCGGCGGAGGAGAGGGCGACGACGACGACGGCGACGACGACGACGGCTCCGCGTCGGCGCTGCGAAGAAACGGCCTCGGCGTCTCCGCCGCCGCCGCCGCCGCGGTCGCCGCGTTCGAACACGGGGAGGAAGACGGAACGTCAACCGACGCGTTCCAGGAGACGCGTGGCGACGACGACGACGACGCGCCCCCGCGCGTCCTCCCCGGGGACGGCGGCGCGTTCGCCAACCTCGACGTCTTGCTCGCCTCCGACGCCGGCTTTGATTTGTCCGAACACTCCTGCGGGCTCCTCTGCGCCAACGCGCTGAACGCTCGACGGGTCGTGTACGACCTCCCGAACCGCCGGTTCGCGCTGCTTCACGACGGCGTGGACGAGACGCGGGGCCTGGATGCTCCCGGGATGCGTGGGTTATCCACCGGGGTGATCGCGCTCATGGGGGGCATCCTAGGCGGCGACGGCGGGTTCGACGTGTTTTGATCATTTGGAATTGCTTGATTATCGTGAGTTGCTATTATTCGGTCGAACGGTCCTCGCCTTCCTCTACGCGCGTGTCCTCACGCGTCGACGCGCGCGTCGTTTTCTCGCGCGCTTCCCACCCTCGATCTCTCCTTCTTCGCCGCGGACGCTTCCATTCTGAGCGCCTCGCGCATCTCGTCGTCGTCCTCGCCGTCCTCGGTCCCCTCCGTCTCCGTCTCCGGCTCGGGCTCCGAAGAGAACAACGCGCCGCGCCGCCGCGGCTTCTTCGCGTCGGCGAGGTCGAACGTCAGCGCGCGCGACGACCTCGCGGGCGTCCTCGCGACGACGCCGCCCTCCGGGAGCGGCGGGAGCTTGTGGAACCTGCGCTCGCGCGCTTTCCCGCCGTTTTCCCCGTTTTCCCCGTCCCCGCCGTCTTCCCCGCGGGCCCCGTCCCCGCCGTCCCCGCCGTGGTACCACCCGTCGAACGCCACCTTACAGATCGGGCAGTTCCTCGCGCGTCGCGTCGCCCACCCCTCGACGCAGTCCACGCACAGCGCGTGGTTGCACCCGCTCAGCAGCGCCATGTCGTCGCGGCTCTGCTCGCCGTCGCACAGCTTGCATCGCGCGCGCGCGTTCGACGCGAGCTTCCCGCCCATCGTCCGCGCGGCGCTGAACGGCAGCGGCAGCGGGTCGAGGATCGCGCGCGCCGCGTCGTCCGCGCCGCCGCCGCCGCCGTCGTCGTCGACGACGCGGTCGCGGTCGCGTCCCCACCACGCGTGCCTCACCCCGGGGGTCTCGAGCGGCAGCGACGACGACGACGGCCGCGCGCGCTTGCGGCTCGCCATCGTGGACGTCGTCGCGTCGCCCCCCGAGCAGCGCGCGCCCGTCTCCGTCTCCGTCGCCGTCGCCGTCGCCGTCGCCGTCTCCGTCAGATCCGTCTCGACGTCGACGTCGCGCGCGGACGCCTCCTCCGCGGGGACGTCCTCGGAGAAGACCGCCCCGGGGGAGACCTTGCGCGCGCTGTCGGGCGCGGGGTCAGGAGC